GGTCGATTGTACCAGCCAATCAGAAACCGTGTGGCTCAGACAGAGGCTGAACAGTGGCAGAAATACTAGAACGCGATTGTCAGAGACCCGGATAACCAATGAGTTTGCCTTGTACATATTACGTAATCCCCCTTATTTATTTCAATAAACGAACTACTTCTCCTGAGGCGCTTTCCTCGCGTCTCGGTTACGTGGGATATTGCGCGCAAGTGCCAGTATGATCCAGTGCTCACGTGACATCCGTCACTGCTAATCAGTGATTCGTGCTCCGAGTTCAGTGCTTACTACCGCTATTAATATAATTACTACACGTCCGCACAGTAAGAAACCAGCATTACACCAAAGTATTCAGTACGAAATGAGCAACGTGCAACATTCAACAACAAAGTCATATTATGATATGCGGAAAACATGAGTATACTCAGATATCGGTGTTTAATGAAACAAACAAATTCCTAATCTAAGTACAAACGCCACAATGTTCCATTGCACTTTGTAATCAGATTTCTCTTCACTGTCAGTTATAAATCATTGATTGTCACCATTCATCGTCTTCGTATTTGTATTGTATTGTAATGACTTCTGTAGGCAAAAAGCCTACATTTCAGTTAAAAAAATTATACAGTTTGGAACAAGGGAAAAAATGAAAATAACAATGAAAAAAGAGAGAGTTAAATCCCCAAACTGTTAAAAAAAAGTCTGTGAAAACCTATTCTTTGTTAACTAGAATATGTGCGAATGAGGGTATTGTGGAGTTACGATGAATGTTTATTCGAGAAAGCACACAACGATATTTGGATCTAGTTGAAAGATCGGAACAATAGGAAGTTAAATCTGTGTTCGTAGCGGATGTTTGCTATTCGATAAGAATCTTATGTACAAACTTTTCCCATGCATTCAAATAATGTTCACATAGGCCAGTTACTAACTTCTCCAGTGGCATTGAAGAGATGCGGTTAATGAGGGTCAGTTCACGTCGAAGCAATTTAAAATCTTTCTTTAAGAGATTAGAAAAAATAACAGGTGAACAATAAATTGAAATGGGGGAAAACACACTGGTACACAAATTTGGAAGTAATCGCTTGATGAATACGGAACTGACGAAGTTCACGGATATGAGAAGAAAGTCGTCGAAGCTTACTGACAATGTGTTGAATGTGAGAGGTTCAGTGAAGATTAGCACCAAGAAAATGCCCCAGGTATCTAATACAACTTTCCTGGAATACTGGTTCAAGGTCAATCGATACCGGTTCAAATGGGGACGAAGAACATGATGATGTAAAGAGACATTCCAAACGTTTGGAGTTTTTAAGAGAAAAAAACCAGATGTGACGCAAAAACCGTTGAACGTTATCGAAGTTGTCTGAAAACCGTGAAAGATCAGAAGAGTTGGCTATGGCTTGACACAAAACCACATCGTCAGCTTATTTTGAAGCGAGAAATAGGAGCACTAGCAGACAAGTCATTAATAATCGCAGAAAATAAGTATGGGGAAGAATAATTTAATCCAGAGATGAACGTCATCTGTAGCTACTAGCCGTGCGTGTGATTTGATTACGTTAGATCGTATAAAACCTTAAGTCACGTGAATTATGTATTCCTGTTTTAGCCGCTGATTGGTATGTTGATTGCAGTTCTCGAATTAGGGTCTAACATTGTCCCGAAAACGAGGTGCAGATCATTGGAGGATTCAAAACAATCTGAATCCGATATCGATTTTTGTCGTGATACAAAATCGAAATGTTTTCCCAATGTTGTTTGCCTACTAACAATTTGGTAGTAGTTAATATGAACGAGGATTCATCACGGAGTTGGAATGTGTTCAGCATGTGGTTAGATGACAACCTGGTGTGTCGTGCCCTATTGATATTATTGATTCTTCTTTAACATACACTTCAGTTGTAAGACCTAACTTAAATACAAATGTGTTGCCCTGACACTACTATTCTGGTGTTGGTAACTAACCTGTGCCCGTAACATTCTTATCGACTCCCAAACATTCGCTACACACAGATCTAACTTCCTGTTCTTCCGATCCGTCCACTATAGATCCCAATATCGTTGAGTTCCTTCTCATAACTCTGCGGTACCCTCATTAGCACGTATTCTAGTTAAAAAAGAACAGGTTTTCACAGACTTTATTACCAGTTTTGGGACTTAAATCTTTGTATGTTTTCCCTCTCCAACTTGTGTATTTTTAACTGAAATGTAGGCTCTATGTCTCCAGATGTTAAAACAATAGCAATCCTGTCCTGTTTCCATCCATTCATTGCCTCGGATACGAACAGTGAAATAACCACGCCTTGTCAATGTACATCATCATCATCATCATCATCATCATTAGCTAACTTTGTAGGGACAGTGGTCAGCCAATTCACAAAAGCACTCACCATATGTGGATCTTCAAAATATCTTCACGAACCGCGTTTTTCTTATCATTATCTGTTTGATGGAAGCGGAATAAATGATCACTAGTTTAGGTAATCATAAAAAATTGTAACCCCGGTGGTGGTGCGTGAAATATTACGATGACTTTTCTAGTCAATAACGATTTGAATGCTGATAATCTTAGCAGTGCAATAATTTCACAAGTCCAGTGCCGATCGAGGAGAGACTTGTCTATTTGGAACAACGCTAAGGGAATCGATAAATTGGATTACATAGTACGAAACATCTCTGTGGTGAGCCACGCCTACATGATGACGCCTATCCTGAAGCGGCGCGTTACAGTTTCGAGACACCTGCGATCAATCGAATTTGAAAGGTGACGTCAATGAGGCGGCTACGTGTCACAGCTTCTGACTACACGCCATTAGTGGATCGTGCCAACCAATCCAAGACAGTGCAGACAGAAGCAGAAGTATGTAAGCAGTACTGCAATATGATTGGTGGAAGCCGAGATCACCAATGACCTTCTTTTGTACATATTATTTAATTGCCTTCATTTCTTCCAATAAACGAACTACGAGTTGCCAGTCTTGTGGCCTTTTCCTCGCGTCTCGTTCACATGGGATATTGCGAGCTCGTCCCATTGCGGTCCAGTGTTTCCGTGATCCAGTCCCTGATAGCTGATCCATGATCTGTTTTCTGTGGTTCCTTATTCGTGGTATGTGTTCCGAATTCCGTGCGCACTACTATTATTGATACAATCATTACAATCTCATCTCGAACAGGTCAGGTCAAAATTACAACAAGCATGCAAAATGGATTGCTGGAACTGTCCGGCGGTAGATATCCATTTGCTGTAGTTACAATTATTGTAACGATCAATCAGTTTGGAAAATTCAACACACTAGTTAAATCAGCATTTTAATCGATTTTGGATTAATGCCTGTCTGTATTTCGCGTTGATTTTTGAAAATCCTTCCCCAACCCAAAATGATTACATATGACGTAGCTTTGTTCTCGTGTTACTTGTTTATTGATGGATCCTCACTCACATACGCCCCACCCCCACACAATTGTTTATCTATTGATTCGATACCCGCGACATTTCAATTTGACATGGATAGAGAACGTGGTCGACCTGTTGGCTCCTTTGGACATTACATTACGGATCAATCGTGTTTTATTTCGGGATTCGTATCGGTTTCGGCTACGCGTCACTCAGGTGTGAATTGATTGACGTACCCTCCTCCCCCGCCACACCGGGCTTGTTACGGATGTGTCGGTTGTTTATTGATCATCTTTGACAACCCACCCCTACACCAGACCACTGCCTATTCCGTCCTTAGGGAATCACTTGATCTCAACCCATTGATATCTGTCCATCCACAGCTGTCAGCGCGTGTGACCTTGTTCGTATACTGTTTGATATGATATGATGTAACTTATCTACCAACAATTGTCATCATTCAAGCATTGTCCCCGCCGTTGTCATCCCCTCTCCAGTTTCAGTTCAATTATTTTACAATCATCATTATTCATGCCCACTTTCGTGCGCCAGTTATGGTTGCTGTCTATTGGTGCCTCCTCTGCAAAGCATGAAGCATTTGGTGACATATTGATCCGAGCAAATCTGTTCCATGTCGGCTCTTGTGACTCGTGCGCCCCCCTCCCTCCCTTTTTCCATACAAATGAACAGTATTGTACCGGACAGGATTTTTCCGTTTGTTCTATCGTTCGATCGAAATTGCTTAGTTCTGTTCGCTCTTGTTTACCCCGTATCTATGACCAAATCCCTATCCGTATTACCAACACAATACCCCCGTCCGACCCTCCCCCCCTCCGCGGGACTGAGTAACTCTGATTAATCGATTTGCACCCCTTTAAATACCTTATTTATCAGATGTTTCTTATTCTATGATTTGACATAATCTAGCGAGTGGCCTGACTCGATATCTCATGACATTTCGATTTAACATGCCCGGTTTCATAACGTTAGGCAGATTGTACATGTTGTCTGTTTATCCATATTTGAGTACACGTGATTTACCAAACATACTACTGAAAAATGTGAGTAGTACATCACAACAGTACTGTCGTTCTATTACACGGGGCTATATGTGACTAATTCAGTTAGTGTGACAAAACATACTGACACGTGAGCATACAAACAAGGTCACTGAAAGTAGTGGAATGCAGAATAATATCTGATGAGTATAATTATGTTGATCATTAAGGTGAAATGCAATACTGTGTCAGACAATTATTGTACAGAAGTGCATAGATAGAGAAGGAAGTAGCTACTTGTCATAGCAAAAGAAATGTACTGTGAAGCGGGGTGAAGTAGACCGTGTGTGTGTGTGTGTGTGTATGTGTGTGTGTGTGTGTGTGTGCAAAGACAGTCCAAAGCACACCGGTAACATGTGACCAGGTGTCAGCATACACACACACAGATAGAATAGCACACATCATTCCCACTCCCCCTTTCTCCATCTCACTATTCCGATTGGAGTATTGATTACCCGATCAGAATAGAATACCGTATGAACTTGATCATTTGATCCGCCGTTCTCAGTTCCCTCGTGAGACAATCACAGTTCGCTTGACAAATTAGAATGTACGACACCGACGACGACGATGACCAGGAGGAGGAACAGCAACCGGATAGTCTGGAAGTCGATTACGCGGTTGACGAACCCGCCAAAGACCGGATTCGTGTTCGCATCCGAGTGGACGATCTGCGCAGTCGAAAACGTGTCTCGTTCGCTCGAATCGCGCCGCAAATAGTCCGGGAAGCGAGCAATGCTATCATC